TATATATATATATATATATATATATATATATATATATATATATATATATATATAAGCACAGCTCTTTAGATAGTAAGCCATGTCTTCTGAAAGTGTGCTTATGTTTAGAAATGAATATGGTTGGAAATACGAACAATTAAAAGACTGAAGATGATTTTAATTTGCTTATAAACTCAAAGTTATTGTCAGTTTTTTTAACTAAAAGCATTTCAGCAACTTTTAACTTAATAAAATGTAAAAAATATATTATATGTTAGCATGTTATTAGCATTAATGACGTGAAATACACCAAAAATAACTATATAATTCATCCAGTTTCATTGTGTATCACAATGTGTTGTGTGTCTTTGCATGTGTGTGTGTGTGTGTATATCACTGTGTTTGTGTGTCTTTGTGCGTTTGTGTGTACGTGTGTCAGTGTTTTTGTGTCTGTGTGTATTTTTATATGTGTGTTAATGTGTATATCAGTGTGTGAGGTTGTGTAAATGTGTATTACAGTGTTTTGTGTGTATGTGTGTATTTGTATATGTGTATTTGAGTGTGTGTGTGTGTCTTTGTGCATGTGTCTGTATGTATGTGTGTGTGTGTGTGTGTGTGCGTGCGTGTGAGTGTGTGTGTGTGTGTGTGTGTTTGGTCAATGGACTGATCAGCTGTTCTCTGGATCAATAGCTGCATTTACTGCATTTCTCCTCATAAATCAACATTAAATCAACACTGTGCTTAAAATAAAATGGAGAAAGTGTCTGCTGATATAAACACCAATATATATATATATATACCTATACTGCTGATATAAACACCAGTCAAATAAAGAACACGTGGATGCTTCTACATAAAGCTGTTGAAAATGGCATGCAGTTATACATAATTACACAAAATTTAGTTAATAAGCACTCGTCAGTTATGTCCAATATTAAACAGAATATAAATAAATGTATATAAATATAAATAAGTGTTTCAGATAGTTAAAACAGCACTATTCAAATTCACCCAAATGCAAAATTACTCATAATAATGCATATTTGTGAGAGAATCCTCCATTTTCTACTGTCTATATGTATGTTTAACCTTACATTCATTTAAAACTGAACACAATTAATAAAAAATAAGCAAGTTGTGTCTAAAAATGTATGTATTTATCCATTATTGGCTGATGAATGTCAGAAAACGCCACTTTATTTATCAATATTTGTTTGAGTGTGCGTTTAAAGGCTTTTAATATTTTTAAAATGAAAATATTTTAAAATAACGCCTTGTTTTTAGAGGGGGAAGAGCGATTATTGTGTTAAAATGTTGTATTTTATAGATAATTTTACAGGTAAACAAGATGAAATGTCTTGCAGGATTACATAGGGTCACGTGTGATGGAGTGGGCGGAGCTACCTCAGCGGCGGGAGCGGCTCTCAGCTTCAGTCAGTCAGTCAGTAAAGCAGAAGGTGTCCGGACAGTCATGATGCGCTCGCGGGATTTATCCACGGATTTAATGTGAATTATCGATAAATGGGGTCTGTGAGATGGAAAACACATCAGCAGTGGCTGATTATATTCTGGATTTTATCGTTTTCAGGTAAGAGATGTTTCAATCGCCTGTGTTTTGAGTGGAATCTCGCGCGTAAAGGTTGGAGATCTCCAAGTCCTCGGTGTTTGTTTACTATCGCTAAACTAATGATGAACTCTCCAGATTCGCTCAGTCGATTGATTTAGCTTGTTGTTTGATTATTTTTCGATGTGATATCAGCTGTCGATGCTTCTAAATTTAATATGAAAGTCATTTAATACACGCAGGTGCTTTGGATACGAGTGAATGTTGCGTTTTTACCATGTCTGCCGTTGTATGTAACGTTAATGGTGTTCTAGCATGAAGTTATTATTTTTGCTAATATTAGTCCCTTTATAATGCTGGGGAAATGTTAGTCAGGTCTTATAAAAAGGATTTCACATCTAAATGTACAGTTTAATTATCATATATTTTTGTTTTTAACAGAATATGTTGTTATTTTTAAGATAGCATGCCGTATTTGTCACTTTTTAACCTCTGTTGTAGACATGTCATCAGTATTTAATGTGTTAAATTAAAAACTAAGCAAGACAAGTTTATTTCTATAGCACATTTCATACACAATGGTCATTTGCAAGTGCTTTACATAAACCAGATAAAAGAAACTTACAATACAGGTATAGGAATTAAAAACAGCAGAATAAAATCATTTAAACATTAAAAATGTGTTAAATCGGATTAAAAATATAAAAAAAAGATCTGACAAATGTACTCCATGTTATAAATCAACATTGCTGAATAAAAGATGGAATAAACAGTTTTGATATTCATATATTTATTGAATATTTGGATATTATATGATGCATTTTGTTCAGTTTTCTTATATGAATGTTTGTGTGCATTATTTGTTTGTTTATTTACATATCTATCCATCTATGCATCCATCTATCTTCCCATTCATTCATCTATGCCTAAGTAAAGGTGCATTTTCTGAATAATTACATCTTTACAGAAATAAATTGTACTTTTATCATTTGTTTTTTTTATAATTTATTTTATGGATGTACTTTTAGTGGTCTGTTTGCAGAAAAACACTCATTTTGATCATCTGACGCAAAAATTGATTCTAAATATTATATATATATATATAACATTAATTCGTGTTTTGACTGGAGTTGTATTAAGATGCAGCAGATTTAGATTTCCATCAGTCTTAATATTGGACGCATGGCCTGTTTTCTCCTTGTATTGTGTGAAAAGCTGCAGTCATGAAGATCAGAAATAAAAGGCCTCAGTGTCCAGCAAAAGCACCGATGGCAGGATGATTTTTCTCTCTCAGTTGACCGTGAATAAGTGGATTAAATCTATTGAAATGCTCTCAGTCCAGTGGCCTGTTCAAGTCTTGGCTCTCTGCAGTTATGGCTGTGATATGGCAAAACTCTTATTTCACCATGTAACTCGTATAATAATCATATAGAGTTGAAACTAAAATATTTGCTCTGAAATGAAATTTAAATAATTTTTCTGCAATTTCCAAAGTGTTGTTTATCATTTTTAACCACATTTTAATTTCATTTTCTTGTGGAAAAAGGCAATTTTTTTGTTTGGCTGGAGTAATATGTATATATATATATATATATATATATATATATATATATATATATATTTTTTTTTTTTTTTTTAATGTTGTGGTTAATTTTATTACTCCCCTTAATTATTTTTTAGATTAACATTTTTTTCCCTATATTATTATATTTACCACTGCAACTAATTAGGTGTTATTAGCTTTGAATTTGTTTATATTATTATTAATAGTCATCATCATTATTATTATTATTATTAATATTATTATGTTTTAATTAAATATTAACTATAATAATAAATATTTACATATGTGTAACTATATATTACAATATTAAATATAAACTTAAATTTTTAATGATTAAATAAATATAAAATAATTTAAAAAAAATTAATATAAATATTGATATACTATAACTACTATAAATTGAAATAAATATATAAATAATTTGTATAAGTTAATATGATTCAAATAAACTAATTAACTATTAAATAAATGTTG